TATAAGTTTAACGATAATAGCCAAACCAATTAAACGTCTAATCTATTTCTTTTTAATATTTATTAATTTTTTTCTCTGTCTCAGACTCCATAACAGTCGGAATTTTTTTTCTCTGTCTCAGACTCCATAATCGTCGGACTTGGGATTCCTCTATCCGAACTTTTATCTCCCGTAATATAAGCTGCTAAGCTCCTTATCTAGGGTTTCATGATCTCTTTTATTCATGTGAAATTATCCATAAAAGGTTATTACCTTTGATTTTTTGGGGAATTATTTTAAATTTGTAGCATTTTCTTTTTACCTGGCATAATAATAATAATAATAATAATCATATATATTTCATTGAATGTATATGTTGCTTTGCAACTTATTTTCATTATATGGCTTTTGAGGATTACCTCTTGTGCAATTAATTGACGAGGAAGTCTAGAAAGGATTCTAGAGCAACCTTTATGCTGTTGCACAAGGAGCAGTTGGTATTGCCTTGGCCAAGCTCTCTATTTGCCTAACCGAAATGTGATACTAGAATGCGTTGGCCAAGCTTTGTAGATTTGTGAAATCTCTAATTACATGCACTTAACAAGGCCACGTCGAGACATTTTCTGGGGTACCGATTCTGAAGGCCACCTAGTTCTCTCGGATGATGCTGAGCTGTGGGAAATCCTTTGCACCATTTCCGGAAGGTAATGCTTGTTGCTTTGAAGGGAAAGGTCCTGGAACCTAATAAGTGTAGGCGGTTTAAATTTTTCGATAAGAGAAGTTGTATTGATAAGGAAAAACGATCATCTGATTGAAATTGAAAAACATGCTCTTTGCAGACCAAGCGAATGATCTGATGCTTGTCAGACTCAGTACCGCGACCACTTTTATTATGCATGCAAATAGTTATATTTGTATGTATAATGTTTCATTTCCTTTTCTCTGGGCGACAAAGAGGGTAAATTAGGTAGCAAGAAAGAGACACAAATCAATCAAATGGGATATGGGATTCATAAATTTACCTCTGTGTGTAAATTGGTTTTTCCCTATCATGTTTTATGTGAATTGTTTCGTTTCTTTTTGAAGATCTATCCTTGATGTCTATTGATTTACTCCTAATGTTGTCGTATTGCTTTTTCACATCGATCTTCTGGTGGCTTGAGGAGTTAATTATGAGTTGAAACCAGTACCCAGGGCGAGGTGTGTGGTGCAAATTTTAAGAAAGTGGATTCAGCCCAGAGTGGGTAGTGCTGCTATCTATATATCTGTTATTGCCAACTCTTTTTGTAATCAACTGGTTTATTACGATGAGCTTTATGGTTTGTCCCAGCAGAGATTGTAATTGGGAAGCCTATTAAGTAAGGCGTTGGCCCCGAGGAACGAAACAACACCAAGTATAAGTTGGAGACCGCCACTAGATGGTGATATGAAGAAACAACAATGCTAGCACGTGAAACAAGAATGACGATAGAATATTTTCGGCAAGTCTGTTAAAATCAGTGATGAAACTCCATTGTTAAGCTAAGTTGAGCTTCCATTGATAACCTTGAGAGGAAGGATCTTATTCTGTATTGAATTGCTTGAAGAAGAAGAAAAATACATGTGTTTGTCTAGTATATATACACGTTTAAACTCCAACTAATTAACCAACTAGTATCAAGAAATAACAGAACTGCCATCCTAACTAACTAGTCGACTTAATTAACTGCTAAGCTGACTCACTAAACTAAAAGTTAAACTAATTAATCTCAACAAAGTCAAAAAATAGAATCCTAAACTAATTTGGTAAAATAGATTTAGAATCCTAGTTACCTTCTAACACTATATTTAATATTTATGTTCAATAAAATAAAAAGTAAAAACAAATTGAAAAACTTAACTTTTGTGTGCCTTAGAGTTAAGTGATAATGTAAAAAGGGTTTGACTGACCATGCATACAATTTAAAATATATATTTAAGATTGTAATATTGAACCCTACCATTTGAGATGGCACAAAAGAAGAAGAAGAAGAAGTGTGTATCCTCCCATGGCCATGAAAATTTAGCAAATAGAAAAGCTCCAAATAAGAAGAAATTCATTCTAAATACAAAAATTCCAACCAAATTATTAGCAATGGAGAAGAAAAAGTTACCCAAAAATTCAATAAGAAGAAGAAGAAGAAATCAGTACGTCCCTATCAAATTTCAGGGAAGAGCATTGTGGAGCCGTCAAATGATAATACAGACCAGATGGAGATTGATCAGGTGAGTTCATATGTGAGATACAATTGTTGAGTGCTCGTTGTACTTCAAATTTTGTTTTGAACTAACTTCTACTTGTCCAATTTAGGTCATAAGAATTTATTTACAAGAGGAAATAATGATGGACATAAGAATGATGTGTATAACTTCTCTACTTCTTCTTTATCGACGGTTAAAGTGGTTCAGGATGAACGAAAGCTTGATTGTCCTTCGAGCTGCAAACCAACGAATGTCATATTATTTTGTTCTTGTGATGGATTGTTTCTTATTTTTGTTTCTTCTCGAGGACTCTATGATTCTTCTCCAAGACTCTATGAAGAACTTTTGTTGTGGAACCCGTCCACAAGAGAATCAATACTATTCCCCATCCAGAATTTCGAGTGGTATATTGTGTATGTGGATTGGGATATGATGCAACTAGTGAGGACAATAAGATTCTTGCAATTAACCTGAATGCAGAACATAGTTTCGACACTTCAATTGAAGTTCTCTCTCTAAAAAGTGGTTCCTGGAGAAGAATTGGTTATCCTACTGGCATTGAGCGTGATACTGGTTTTAGGAGTTGTGGTATGGATTATTTGGCATTTCTACATGGAGCATTTCATTGGCTTGGTATGTCACTCTCTGGATATTATACTACTGTTTCATTTAATATTTCAAATGAGGTGTATGGAGAGGTACCTTTATTGGAGCAAATGTATCATGTATGCCCCAGCTTCCGCTACATCGACCGTGGTGTTTCAGTATTGAGAGGAATGCTTTGCTTTCATTCTACGTATAATTATTGGGAGATGGGCATGGACTGCACTTTTAAGTTGTGGAAAATGAAAGACTATGGTGTCAGGGAATCTTGGACTAACTTTATTAAAATACGAGATACTAATCTTTTTCATTCAGCCAGACCAAAATATATGTTTGCGAATTGTGAAGTGTTACTACACTGCAAACGTCTCGGATGTGCTTGTTCTACAATCATGACATCTAGAGGACCATTTGGATTATACAACCCTCAATGTCAATGTGTTACCGTTAAGCAAGAAATTGCTTATGCTGAGAGCTTGATCTCACCTAAATCACTTACTTAAGTATTTGCATATGCTTTTTTCCTTTTTCTTCTGTCGAAGATTATGTAACAACCTCTCATTTTAATGAATATATTTATTGCTGCTAAATTTTGGGTTCTGAATGTATTTATCGAAGTTGGTCAATTTATTTATAGGGAAGCGTGCCACTAGAGCCATTTCTTTTCTAACAGCTAATTGATTACCCATTGTTGTTTATCTAATCGTATATAGTATTTACGACAAGCCTACAACTAGTATACTGTTGATTCCTCAGCTGTAGATAAGTGGAACGACTCCTAGCTTGATTTATGTGAGCTGGTCCAGATGATCGTACTGCTCAACGTATCATTTTATAGGTTAATTCTACTCTGTTATCTCCTTAACTTGAGATTTCGTCCTATGCTTAATGATATGCCTACAATCCGGAAAGATGTCAATGTTTCTCTCGAGTCCTATATGCCAAGGTTGAGGTACACAAAAGTGCAATGGACTCAATTTTCCAGTTGATCGTTGGGCTATGTTGGAATACTGATGGGGCATCACATGCAGTAGGAGAGTAGGAATTTGTTTGGAGTCGAGGCGTAGTTGTGATGTCTCACTGTCAGAGTGACAAATTTTGGTTGTGCTATCTTGTGATGCATTGTTATTGAAAAAACCATACCTAATCCTAATAACCAACTAATTGATATAAAATCTTTGTTATAATGCATTTACATTATTATTAGTTATTCTAATATATTTTTGATTGTGACCAATGATGTTGCAACTAAATCAGCCCTGTTTCACCATTGTATAAATTATGATTATCCTCCTGTAATTCTTTTGCAATTGAGTTCATATTCCAACTAGGAAGATTCTTGTCGATGATTGCACCATAGAAGAAATCACAATAGACAAGTCAACCAACAACGATTATTGGTCGAGTGGTAAGTACTCTTTAATTCTTAATTAGAGACCTCGATCAGAGTGGTAAGTATTCTTTAATTATACTGTTTTCAACCTTTAAAAAAGTACAGTTGATGACATTAGGATGACCGAATTCTATTTAGACCATATTTCTTACTGAGGGGTGAAGCCAAGCTTCTAACAGAAGATTGGGAGGGAGCTGTTGCAGATTTGAAAGAAGCAGCTGAAAAATCTCCTTAGGTTTGTTGGCAATTTTTCTCGGTTGTTTTGTTTGTTTATTTGTTTTTTCCCTGTTTAAACCTTTCTTCATGTAGTTATACTACATCTAAGATGAGAGAAGACATTGGCAAGACAACTCGATCATGCCATCACATTGTGGATATATTGATATGATGTCCTTTTTGGGGGGTTGGGTTTGAGTTTTGCACGTAACGAAGATTAGATTTTGCAAGTTTTGTGATAGCCATGACTAGTGGCGGAGCTAGAATTTTACTAGTTGGGTTTGAGGCAACTTGGGAACATCCCCATTTCACTACCGAGTAATGAATCACAATGAACTACGGAAGGCACCTAGCAGGTGCTGGGGAAAAAACAACTAAATAGAAAGCTTTCTAAGCTTACACCCTTCAAAAGTGTTTTAACTGATATTTTATTCCGTCAAAGTGATTTTTTTTGTTGATGGTCTCAAATCCTATTCATGTCTAAAGCTTCCTAAGATTGTGGATGCAAATTTCTGCATGATGGCTTTGGTCCCCTATTAGAACAGATGGTGCAAGCACTTTACTGGCATGTATCGGATGATTCTCCTATTGTTAGGCGCCTCTGTCTAAGAGGGCTTGTCCAGGTATTCCTGGTCATAGAGTATTCTCTTTTCCTTTTCCTTTCTTCAGGTCAAAGGAGGAGGAATGTTTATTCGAGGAATTTCCTTTCTTTGTTTCCTGATTTTATCATTAGGTGTCCCTCTGGTTCAGTTTGATTTCCTTGGTTAAATAATATCATGGCGTCATTTCGTGATTACTGCTTTAGTTAAAAAAAATTCCTCCCTTTGTTTTCCCTTTCCTTTATGGCTAGGCGCAGATTAATTTCTACTCTGAAAGAATGAGAAATTAGTAAAGGCGTGAACGCCACCGTAATCATTGCTCAAGTACCGTATATTTTCACTTCTCTTGGGTTGAGGCTCATTCTGCCTGCTGGTCTTGCAGATGCCATCTATCCATGTTCTCTAGTATACTATTCAAATCCTAGGGGTGATATTAGCTTTCAGTGACTGAGATGAGTCGGTTCAGTTAACTGCAGTATCACGTTTGCTGATGGTTAAGCTTGCTCGGTCTTTGTTAGTATCTTATATTCTACCTTCACATGAATGTTTTCTGCTGACATTGTACGATGTAGGTTCTCGAGTCCTCATCCAGGGATGCGGTTGAACCTATTCTCCTGGACCTCTCTATACGGCTTCGGAATCTCCAAGTAAGTTGATTCACTAACCAATGTAACTTTCTTCAACTTTGGATTTTCTGGTACCATAATAGCTTCAAATTTGTTGAATTACTGTACTAATCTGGTTGTATCACATTCCAAATTATTTGTTTAGAGCTGATAACAGGGTGGCATTGTGTTAAAAAGACTTTTGTATCAGGACACTGTCTAACACTACTCTGTTTGGACATTCTATGGTGATGTCTTTTGCAACATGATATTTTGCATTATTTCTCAAGCTTCAAGACATGTCTCTTGATACAAGTTGTACTTGAATTTTATATTATACCCCTTAAGTGTATGTGCAAGTTGTTAAATATATGAGTGACACCCATTTATTGTACTGTGTTAGTGTTGCCGCCTATGTTGCTCGGACTCTTCAAAAATGCCGATGAGTGTATGTCGGATCCTCCAAAAGTAGTACATTTGGACGATCCAACACGGATGCATCAACATTTTTGGACCGTCTGAACAACATAGGTTGCCACAATTGTAGTCTTAAGTTCTAAAAGAGCTGAAGTAATTTAATGGTAGGTTTTATATTTTGCCTTTGAAAATTAGTGCATATCGATGTGCTTTTCTTGAGCAGGTATCTTATCTCCCATTAAACCATTTGTCACCACCTAAATTTGATTTGGCATCTTTTTCTCATTCGCACATAGTTCTAGATGTTCTTTTACATTTCATCAATTTTAATTGCATCATAAGGTTTCTTATCCAACATCACAAGCCAAGAATGGTCTCAAACGAGGATGTTTTGGTTGTGTTGGTTTTATCATTTCGGATGAGTGTATGTAAAGGAAGTTCCATATTCAACTGTTTCTTCTTCATTGAAGGATCAATATTTATTTGATTGACAATGTAGGTCACTTTTTGTCAATTTTCAGCTGAATGCGTCTCAAAGTGAGAGAGTCTTTCCATTATATAGAGAAAATAAATATTACACATCCCTAAAGATCCGTCATTCCTATCCCTAAAGATCAGCTATTCTATCTCTACAAATCTGTCATTGAATCCCTCTAAATCTGCCTTGCTATCCCTCCAAATCAGCTATTCTATCACAATATTTATTCATATGATTCTACAACAAATGTATATGATCATGCTAATTTATATCACTATATAATTACATTAATATATACAATCATTTAGTTGTCTATCATGCTAACATCCCCCTAACTTGATGTTGGTGGATCAAGAAACATCAATTTGCCTACTAGAAATTGATGGCGTTGCCGTGCCATGGATTTTGTAAATGCATCAGCTATTTGAAGATCACTGGACACATGTGGAATAGTAATGACTCATTTATCTACAACTTCTCGTATATAATGACAATCCACTTTGATGTGTTTGGTCCTCTCATGAAAAACTGGATTAGTAGCAATCTGAATAGCACTTGTATTGTCAGCGTGGAGAGGAGTAGGATGAGATTGGGGAAATCCAATCTCAGCAAGTAATCCACGAAGCCATACAACCTCGGAGCAAGCAGTAGACATGGATCGATATTCAGCCTCTGTTGAAGATTTTGACACACGATCTTGCTTTTTACTCTTCCAAGATATCAATTGTAACATCTGACAATTAGAAATAGTTTTGAAGAGGCTTAGAATTGGAAATTTTCATTTTTGGAAAGAATTTGAAAATCTGGAAATTTTGGCTAAGTATGGAAAATGTGAATTTTTGGCCAACTTTGGACAGCCATAAATTCTAGCTCAGGATGAGTTAGGTGGAGTCCCAGTTATGGTTGCAAAGTTCGTGGAACGGTCTTTCCAACGCCACTGAGTTTGCTCGATTCCGAGTTCGTATGAGTGAGATATGCCCTTTGAAAGTTGGGCAGTTGACAAGGAAATCTGTCCGGGAATTATTAAGGGCATTTTGGTCTTTTCCCTAGCTATTTCTTTTGAGGATATATTGTTGTGTTAGGCTGATAGTTGGATCATTTTGTTCCATTTTAAGAGAGTGAAGGCTAGGGCTTGAGAGTGAAGAAGAGAAGAAGAAGAGAAGAAGGAAAGAAGAAGAGAAGAAGAGGAGATCAAGCAAGGAGATCATCGTGGATTTTCGTCGGGGG